AAGAATCAAGTCAAAAGAGCAAAAAAATAGAAAAACTAAGCAAGCAATTAACTGATAGTGAAACACAAAATGAAAATTTGAGGAATTTGATCGACTTAGATAATAAACCTTTACCCGCCTTACCTATAGAAGAAGAAGACAAGACTTCAGTTAAACAGAGCATATTTAAGCAGTTAAAAACAAAAGCAAAAGTTAAGATTCAACATTTACAAAAGTTAATCAAAAAGGAAAAATCTCACAACCAAGAAATGATTGCTCGAGTAGAGGTTAAGTCTAAATAACAAGTAAATTGCAATGAGAGAACTGGAATACACAGTTTTAGAATTGGAAAAAGAAAACAAAAAGACTTGTGATTTCTGCTCTAAGTTTGAAAACAAAAATAATAAATCCATTCATCAAATAAGAGCTCGTAGCAAAGTAACTGGGGAATGAATTTCAGATGACATGGTTTGTGAAAGGTGTGAAGAAAAGTATTGAAATGATGAATTGTTAAAGTGTAATAGATGTGGTAGATTGCAAACCAAGTTAGATTTTGATATTACTACTGGTAAGAATGTTTGCTACTGTATTAGAAACAATGAGGATTTGGAAGAGAAGGAACTCCCTCTCTTACCTGATGAAGAAGTAAGTCAGTCTGCTTTTTATGAAAGGCAAATAAACTCCTTACAAGAACAACTAAACAAGACTGAAGAAGCATTAGAAATCGAAAGGGAAGAAGTAGTTAAGTTTCAGGAGAAATCTGAAGAATGAAGCAAGAGGCAAAAACAAGAATTGCTAGATAGGATTAAACAATTAGAAGCAGAAAATGAAAAACTAAAAGGCTTAACTAATCAAGAATTAATAAAAGAAATCAACAAGTTAAAAGTTCAATTAGCACAATTACAACAACAAAATGGTCAATTAGTTGCTCAAATCGAAGTTAAAAAATGACCTTGATTGAAAATAAGAAAGTAATTTAAAGAAATTTTCTTCTGTATAAATTGAAATTAATTCCAACTATCAAAGAAAATGGTATTTATTTTCCTTCTGATGATTTTTGCTTTTTATTAGGTAATAATGCATCATCATGATGCTTTCTTTTTTTAGCATTTATTATTTTTCTTTCTTCTTGGTAAATTTCATAAGTGATCCTTTCTTTTCTTAGATAAGCTTCCAGTGTTTGAGTGTCATTTATTTTAAAAATATAAGGAGCAATTTTTTCACCTTGTTCCTTCTTCAAAATACTTCTAATGGTGCTATAATTCTTGGGTTCCATAGTAGAACTGATATAAATGAGTTTCATCTTAACTATTTTTATACAGGGATAATTCTATATATCACTTAAGGTAACAAATTGGACTGTTAAATTATAATTACAATGCAATTGTGATAATAATGACTAAATTTTGATCCCTGAAATCCTTGGTAATACCAATGTTCACTTTGTCTGGTTTTGTTGCAGCATGCCCCATTTTATATAATATATATATGGATATACTAAAACATCGCTCTGTTCAAACGCAATCAATTCAAAAGATTGCAAATTCTATTGCAAAAAATCCAGGAAATGCTAAAACGCGCATTAATGGTGGAATTGAACCTTCTTTTCTGGAACAACTGTGGTCATTTATAACACCAGAACATACTGGGGTAGTTTCTTTGCATGCAGTCAATAAACTAATCTCTCTTGTAACTATAGGTGCTATACCATGGGAAGAAACTTTGAATCATTTGACAGATTTGTTATCAACATCTTCAGGCGACTCAAAATTTCATAACGTTATAATTACAGGAATAACGGATCTTCTAATTAATCATTTAGATGGAAATATTGATTCAGTAGAATATAAATCACCGTTCAATAGTAGGGCAAGAAATTATGAAGGGAAAATAGATCACCCTTTTATTATTGTTGCTAATTCTGATATTATTAAACTAGAAGAAACATGGTTAATATTGATTTCACATTTAGAAAGGATTTTTGATTTGTCAAGAGTAAAGTTTTCAGCATCACAACATATCATGAAAGAAAAGAGATCATTACATTATTTAATAAACTGTCTTGAAATGATGAAACCTTTCCTAGATTTTGTTATATTAAATGGCTTACAACAACATAATAAAAACTACCGGTCTTTAACTATTATACAACTGCTGATTCGATTAATGTATAAATATGGAATTTATGAGATATTTATCAAGACTTTGATGAATTATTTACTTTCAATAACACAAAGTTTATCATTTATTGATGATAATGTGAATACTTATATTATCATACAATCACTTGTGCAAATAATAAATATCAATAATAAAACCAATTCTATTCTTAATGAATGTTCATCAAATTTGCTTAATCAAATGTTTAATATCACTTGTGATTTAATCAACAACGATGACAATCTATCAATAACAACAACAAACAATTATATTCCTCTAATTTATCAACTATTAATATTAGATGATGGAAAAATCCGTAATATTATTCCAACGTCAAACTTCAATCTTGTATGGGCATCTTTATCTTATTTATTATTGATCACTCAATCATTTGATGATCAAAATTTGATATTAAAAATTATGGATAAGTTAATTGAAGAAAACTTGAAAGTATTAAATATCAGCAATAGTGACAGTGATAACAGCGATGGTAATATTAGCATTAATAGTAATATTATTAATATAGCAATATTACCATTATTTCAAGTCATTGCAGATTTAGAAAAAGGAGAAATCAGAAATTTAGCAATGGTAATTCTTTTCAGATTACAAAAATTTCAAAATTTAAAAATTAATCAAAATTTTTTATCTAAAGAGGTAATTATCACAATAATTAATATAAAATGATAACAATGACATAATAACAATAACAATAATAATAATAATAATAATAATAGATTTCCAATTCGTCAAATATAACAGGAAATCTTGCAAAGTTATCATCAGAAATATATAATTTATCATCATCAACTTTTCAAAATAAAAAAATTCAAAAGTCTAATAACACACAGATTAATTTATTGTTTCACATTCCATATTTATTTCATGAAAACGACACAAGTAAAATTGAAGCTTTGGATTATCTTACATCAGTAATAACTGAAGATATGCAAATGGCAAAATCATTAAAATTGCCAATATTTTTGTTATTATTATACATTCTAAGGAATGATATTTCATCATCTATTCATCTTCATATCTTGTATGATTCTTTACCATCATTAATCACAAGAAACGATCCAATTATCACAACTAAAATTTTTAAAGTTATCACTAATATTATGCAAGAGGAAGAGTTAAATTTAAATAATAATGATGGTATTTATTATTATAAATTATCAACAATTGGTATAAGGGTTTTATTTAAATGCTGGAAAAGACAAAAAAGATGTTGGGAAGCTTTAATATCTGTGATAAGTAATTGGGTAGAAGATAGACTACTTAAGACTTCAATTGATATTAAAAGGGAAGATTTTGAACTGGAAATATCAATACTGAGTACTATCAGGTTTGTTATATATATATATATATATATACATATACATATATATACACGTGTGTATTTATATATATTTATAAAATTTATAAAATTTATTTATTATTATTAATAGAGATATTTGTAAGATAGATGCAGTAAATTATTCTGAAGAATTAATTCCTTTAATATCAAGTTTACTTCAATCAACAATATTACATCCAATTAGTTTATGTTTAGTAATTGACACTTTAAATACATGTATTGAGGCCAATGCTGCAGATATTTATGAAGGTTTATTATCATGACTATGACTATTATGATTATGATTGGTTTGATTTACTAACAATAAATATATTAATTATTTCAATTTTTCATTATAATAGTTTGGAATAAATTCATTATTTATATTGCAGAAATTGTGAAAATAAATAAAATTTCAAATTTACAAGTAATTAGTATGTTATGTAATTTTTATCAATTGGTAGCGAAACATGATGATGGTAACTTTCTTTTATATATAAATTACATTATTTAATAATAATGATAACAATAACAATATTTTTGTTTTATTTAGATTGTGAAGAATATGAAGAACTTAAGAATGAGGTTTTATCAAAACACATGTATCCATTAATTTCTACTGGAGAGGCCCCAAATAGCTTAAAAGATAAAGAAAATGACAATGTTGATGATGAACAAGAGAAAAAAAAACCTTTTGAGTTTCAAAAAAATCAAGAGATTTTAAAATGCGCATTAAAAGCATTATCATTTTTTTCTGCAACTTGTATCCTTTCAACAATTTTTTCCAAGCAACCAAAGATTATTGTTAATCAAATAAGTCATTCTAAATATTTAAGTCAGATTGATGAATGGAAATTTGTGCTGAGTAATTTGATTTCTTATGAAATTGAAAATATGAGTCGTACATTATTCAAAGGTAGAACCAAATTTACTGGAAAAGGGATAGGAGGAGCGGAAGACAGAAGAGATGAAGATGAAGATGAAAAGAAATTACAAAAAGTTAAAGGTAGTTTGTTTTCAATCAGTTCAAAAATTATTGAATCATGGGAAAGTGGAAAGGTTGTGCCAGGATTAAGAGTTGGCTATTCATTAGCAACATTAAATTTTTTCGAATCATCATTACCATTATCATCCTCAACAATGATACTTGATAAAGAAGAGCAACAAAAAAAAGATGACCTTGTAAATAAAATAGAATTTATAAAATCAACTAAATTTTATAAATTGTTGATGAATGTAATTCAAGATGTTAATTTAACAGATCATTGGATGATTAGAATTGGTGTGATTGCTGAATGGACTAAATTTTTTGAAAATGGCTTACAAGAAATTTTTTCAATAACAATTAACAGTCAAAATAATTTTGATTTTAATAATGAAGAAGAAATAATAAATATTTTAAAAGATGATTTGATTAAGTTATTATCTGAAACTAGTGTTCCCACCATATTTCAAAATGTTATATTTGCAATTACCGGTATTTAAATATAAATATAGATAAAATATTTATTTATTTAATAATAATAATAATAATATTTGTTGCTATTACAATTACTATTTTTTAGGTCTATGCTTAGCTTTGAGATCACTTAATAATGTATCAAAAGAGCAATATGCTGCAAATATTTTAAGATGTTTAAGAGATAATTATTTTGTTGATGGATCATTTCAAGACACTGTTGAAAAACATGAAAATCAAGATATAAGCTTGATTACAAGTGATGAAGTACAATTTAGTGTTATGATTTCTTTAGGATATTTAACAACCTTGGTACTGATGGATGAAAGATTTACACAAGAAATTATTAATTTGTTGGTTTCAAAATTAATTGATGATGATAAGAGGTAAAGAAAATTTTTCTTTTGTAAAAAGATAATATATTATTATAAATATTAATATAAATATATCTTTATATGTTTATATTAAGCTCAATATTTGTTTGGACATTATTTGGAGCAGGTTATGCTATAGGGGTTATTTTATTTCAACAGGCATCATTTCCCACTAGAACTCCTGAAATGGAAAATAATTGTTCACAAACAATTCAATTCCTTGAAGAATATTTTTTTCAATCAAATAATAACCCAGAAACAGAATCACCAGTATTATTGATTGATTCATATTTAGGTTTTATGCTTGGATTATCAGGGGTTAATCATGAAGAAGTTAAAGAAGTCAAGACAATTTATCAAAAAGCATTATCTGATTTAAAAAAGTTTGTCGAGTTAAATGGAAAAGTTGAAAATGATCATAAGCGGCGGATTTTAGGTTCAGCTTGGTTTGTTGCATTTTCAAAATTTGAAAGATATGATGAAAATATTATTGAACTTTTTGAAAAATTAACAAGTGTTACCACATCAAAGGTATAATTTTAATTACACACACACACACACACACACACATATGAATATTTATATTATTATTATTTATTATAGGGAGAATGGACTGGATATGATGTTCATTTTACTCAAACTTATTGTTATGTATTACAAACTGTTCTATTAATCATACCAATAAGAGCAATATTACCTAATTTACAGAAATTTAATGCCCAATTGAGCTCTCAAATAGAAGTTCTTTCATCACCAGGATCTAATTCTAAAAAACGTCAGAATGCAATTTTGGCTTTAGGTTCTTTATCAGGGGTGATATATCCACACAATTTTTTTTATGAAAAGGCCAATTCATATTTGTTTAAATCTAGACCATTTACAGTGATCAATCAAGTATTGGATACATTAAAAAATATAGCAGGTGTACCATCATCATCACCATCTAGTACTGTTTTTGCTGGAGCAGCAGAAATAATGATTAAAGATGTGAAAGGTGCAAGGCTGGCAGCTATTATTTTGGGCAAGATGACACAAAGTGTTGATAAACTTTTAGTTGAAAGTAATGATGTTCTAATAAAATCAGTATCAAAAAATATTGCTGACACAGAACCTAAAAACTATTCTAGATTACCTAATTCAAGCTATTTGAAATTTTTATTTGTAGCATTAACAGATGTAACAGATATTTTTTCAAGTAAAAGTCGCTATGTATATATGAATTCTCCAGAATCTACTATATCAATAGAATCAGCACAATTGTTTTTTTCAACACTTATGAATGTCAATCAAGTTTTTCCACCAGTAAATTGGTTCCCCTTACTTGTAGAATTTAATAAACCAAACTTTAAACAATTTAAATTGCATATTGAAAGTATTAAGTTTGCAATAAAATATTGTGATTGGTCAGCATCTTTAACAGAATACCTTATGTATGTATTAATGAAATTCCCTGATATTCAAGTTATATCTGATGATGGTGATGATTTTAATAGTGGTGACTTAGGATTTGAAGAGATACTTGTTAATGATGGAATTGCTAAAATTTTACAACTTTATGGATTTGAAAAAAATGAAAATGACATAATTACAGAAATCAAAAGGCCAACAACATCTTCATCATCTTCAGTTGCTATTAAGCAAAGGCGAGGAATCAATGACATTTTAAAAAAATCAACAATTCATGATTCTCGTCTTTTAGAAATCTTTGATGTTTTATTTGAAAAGTTATTTGAAAAAGTGGAAAATAAATATTTAAAAATTATTAAGGTTTTTGAATCAAATAATATTTTGCAAATTATTTATTTTTTATGAATTATTGTATATCTAATCTTTCTATTTATTATGTATTGTAGGGATTACAGATAAAATTTCTAAGAACGATAAATTATTATATTCCATCAAATGACAAAACATCCAACACTGAAGATTATTTGACCATAACCCAACAAGAATTAATTAAACGATTAAAAAAACATTTCTACAATTTTAAAATATCAGATTTGAAAGAACAAGATGTTTACATAATACAACTGTTTACAAAAACTTGTATGTTTTCTAATGATGATATTATAAAAGGTGATCAGTTGTATGAAAATGAGGAAGAATTCAAGAAATATGTTGTAACAATTTGTACAATGGTCCAATTGAATCGTGTAGATTCAAAATATCTTATAAATTTATTACAAGAAAGTTTAGTAATGATAGCAAAACAAAATCAAGAAAAAGATGATGATTATGATGGAAATGATATGATGGAAATGATGGAGTCACACTCATCTAATAACAAAAATATTTTAATATTTTCAAAAATCAACAATTCATGATTCTCGTCTTTTAGAAATCTTTGATGTTTTATTTGAAAAGTTATTTGAAAAAGTGGAAAATAAATATTTAAAAATTATTAAGGTTTTTGAATCAAATAATATTTTGCAAATTATTTATTTTTTATGAATTATTGTATATCTAATCTTTCTATTTATTATGTATTGTAGGGATTACAGATAAAATTTCTAAGAACGATAAATTATTATATTCCATCAAATGACAAAACATCCAACACTGAAGATTATTTGACCATAACCCAACAAGAATTAATTAAACGATTAAAAAAACATTTCTACAATTTTAAAATATCAGATTTGAAAGAACAAGATGTTTACATAATACAACTGTTTACAAAAACTTGTATGTTTTCTAATGATGATATTATAAAAGGTGATCAGTTGTATGAAAATGAGGAAGAATTCAAGAAATATGTTGTAACAATTTGTACAATGGTCCAATTGAATCGTGTAGATTCAAAATATCTTATAAATTTATTACAAGAAAGTTTAGTAATGATAGCAAAACAAAATCAAGAAAAAGATGATGATTATGATGGAAATGATATGATGGAAATGATGGAGTCACACTCATCTAATAACAAAAATATTTTAATATTTTCATGGATTCTTTTTACCATCCATTTTGACATATTCAATAATACTAAAAAATCAAACAAAAAAAAAATCTTGAGATCAAAATTAGAATGGCTTGTCAACTTGATGGATGTTTTGATTATAGTAACCAATTCTCCTAATCAAGAATCATCATCAATTAACAAAATATGGTATTATGGCATTAATTTGGTGATGAATGGTTTAATTAATTTAAGTTGGTGTGAAGATGATGTTAACATTGATAATATTATTGATGGTAATAATGGTGGTGCTACTACCCTTGCTAATGCTATGATCAATTCATGTTTTATTGATTGTCAGATATTTGATGAGAATTTTATGAGAATTTTCAATAATCCTGTTATTGTGAAACAACTTCCAAATTTAATTATCAAAGAAATTCAACAATCAGTTGATATGGATGATAATGGGTTTAACACATTAAATGAAAAGGTAGAAAATTATTTTTGCATTTTTTTTTTTTTCTAGAAAACTTAAAATTAAATTCTTTATATTAATCCGAATTTTCTCTCAAAAAATTTCAGGTAACTAAAAGATTTCTACAGTTATTTGAAAATTTGAGGAAAGATAAGGCAAACGAGGCAAGCCATATATTTTGGGAAATTTTAAATAGATTGAGATCACCTAAAATCGGGCTTATTTCAGATAATGAAAGTTGGGTATTATTTGAATATTAAAACAAGTTTATGAATATGTGAATGCAATGTGAACTTTTAATTATCATTATTATTTAAAAAAAGTAGGTCAAGAGATTTGTTTAAAATTAGAATTTGTTTCAGTAATAAAGATTATTATTATATTTTAAGAAATGGTCAAATCTTTTTTCAATTAATTGTGATAAAACAATCAATCAAAAGTGCAATAATTCCCTAATTCCAACAAAAAAAACTAATGTCTATTAAGCAATAATAGTCATGGTTTGAATATCCACAATCAATTTAAATGATGGATTTGGTTCATGCAAGGGTTAGACGATGGTTTTAACGTGGTTTAATCCAGATAATTCAGTTATTGGTGTTTATAACGAAGAAACTTTTAATAAATAAAGCTTGAGCGCAACTTTGTTTTGCATAAAATTTCACAAAAAGCACATACTAATTACTAATTCCAGATAAAGTGTCCAATCAAATTCGAAGTGAATTTTAACTAACTCGAATCAAATCAATCCATCGGAGCTTTAATCATATTAATATTTGTGCTACTGCTCAAAAATCAAAAATTGTTAATCTCCTTTATTTTTATTTCTATTTCAAACAATTTCATAATAATAATTAAAATCTACTACAACATCAGAAAAAATTTTCATTCAAATGTTTTTTTGATTCAAAAAAAAAAGAATTAAAGTATTATTATTTATCATAAATAAAAAATAGTAAAACCCACTTTTCCTTTTCTCACTTTTTACAAATTTTTCTAAATCAAACATGTATATATACTTAAAAAACTTCAACTCCTTCATTAGCGTAACTCTCTTCGTCATCATCTACAGAATCTCCTTCATTCTCGTCGTCGTCATCATCATCATCATTATTGTTGTTGTTGTGTGCTTTTAGATTTTTTTTACTGAATAAATCCTTTTCCATTTTTTTTAAATCCTTCATAGCTGTACGATACTCTTTACATAATGATCTTAATTTTTCCTCTGCTTCCTCATAAAGCTTCTCTTTGGCTTTTTTATCAAGATCAGGATCTTTAAAATTGAATCTGGAAAGATTCGTTCGCGCTTCTTCACTCAAATTTTCGATTGATATTTGTGGAATGAGTGGAATTTCTATTTTAAATGCATCCGTTGAATAATTATTATGTTCTTCTTCAAACAATTCTAAATTATCATGAAAAAATAATAATAATAAAATTATAATAATTATTGTTTGTCTTCTATAATCCATCAATGATGCATATATATATATACCTTCAATTGTAACATCTGAATACGTTTCAGTTTTGGAATCTTCATCCATCAAATCAATTTCTGAAGTGTGTCGCAGCTTACGAGATTTTGGCGCGATGTAATAGGCGGAATTATGATGAGTAGTAATCTTGGTAACATTTTCAAATTCAGATTTAAGTGAAATGCTACTATGATTTCGTTTCATAGATTTACGATTATAAGATTCTTTTTTATGATTATGTATGTCCATCGTCGAAACTGAAGTATTGTCGTCATCACCGTCAACACCAACATCGTCATCATCATCAGAATTACAATTAAACTTTTTAATATTATTCAATTCATTGGTAGTATTTACAGAATATGAGAAAGTTGTTGATGATGACGACGATGACGATGATGACGATGACGATGATGATGATTTTAAGTAAGCATTTTTGCCTTTATTATTTGAAGTGCGTGATGATTCTTTGTTGTTACTGTTAAGTTGGTGCGTATTAGCTGATTTGGATGAGTGACGATTGTGATCATTGTTGTTACAATTTGATTTGTTTTTAATTTGTCGAATTGATGATGGAGGCGTGATATCAGAAAACCTTTTGGTTTGTATGCTGTCTTTATTTTTATATTTTTTATTATTTGGTTTAGATGCTGCAAATGACCTACTTATCGCCCTATTATTTGTAGTAGTAGCAATAATTCTGCGGTTAGTTACCGACCGTTTGTTATCTTTCGTTTTTCCAAGTGGATTTTTCCAATAATCCCATTGAAAACTTTTAGATGGTTCGCCATTATTTTTTATGCATTTGAGAGCTCTCTTAACTCCAATATGATCAAGAAATCCTTTTTTTTTTACAAAAGTCAAGTAAGGCTCATCACCCAACATGAAATGCTTTAATCCTTTATGCTCTACTACAGAACTTTTTAAAATTATAAATTAAGAAAAAAAATACATCAAATTAATATATGAATATATGAATTGTGCACATACTATGTCATATCCTCGAAATATTTTACAAGAAAATTTCCTTCTAGTAACAAATGATCAATATCACAATCAAAATCCATGCTCTCGTCAAGTTCGTCATTTGGAACAATCTAGGTTTTTTAAAAAAAAAAATAGTGAATCACAAGTTTTAAAATTCAAATAATCTGATAATTCAAATAATATAGAAAATTACCATTGCAGGCCACCAAAAGCCAGCATTTTTATCCAAAGGATCAACTGTGTATATATATATAAATGCGTGAGTGAGTATATTCTATTAATTCAAACAATAACATTATATACTTGAATAAAAAAGAATATTACCAAAAACGACATCTCTTCCTTTAAAATCTTGTACCAATGATTCATTACTATTCAATGTTTCTTTTGAATGACGCAATGATTTTCTAGAAGGTTTGCTAGGTTGAATAATGACTCTTTTTGTTCTTAAGGTTCTTGTAATTTTAGGTGATTCTGTTTATTGTTATTAATATTTTAGAGAATGGCTTATGTTAGTAAATTCGACACAATAAAATCTGAATAAATATGTACATTACCTTCTTCTTCCAACTCCTCCTGTATTTCCTCTGCTTCCTCATCTTGTTCTTCTTCATTAGAGTTAAAATCGTAATGAGATTTGGATTGAGATCTATTGCGAAAATTAGTTTTTCGCACATGATTTTTATTCCTTTCTTCTTCCTCTACCACTTCTTCACTTTCTTCTTCATGTATATATTTGCCAGTTTTAGACTTTACGCTTGTTTTGGTTTGAGATAATTTATTACGAAATTTAGGTTGTGGTTTATTTACATATTCTTTTTCTTCCGCGCCTTCTTGCTCCTCCTCATTATCTAATTCCTCCTTTTCATCCTCGCCTTCGTTGTCAGCTTTGAGTTTTTCAAAATTTTTTAAATGAGATCTATTACGAGATTCAAATTTTTGCTTATTTATAATCTTAATTTCTTTATTTTTTTCTTCTTCGTCTTGCTTTTCTTCAGTATCATTTTCCTCATCCATATCATTTTGCACATGGCTATTTACAACACCATTCATTTGATCATCAATTTGACTATCTTGGAAATCAATTTGTAGCTTTTTTTGTGTTGATATAACACTAACGCTAGAATTAATAATAGTGTTAGAACTGGCAGTAATAATATTAATTTCATCCACAACTTCTTCTTTATCCAGTTCTATCAACGATTGTTCAACGAGAGTAGAATCGTCGTCATCGTCGCCGTCGTCGTCGCCGTCATCGCCTTCGTCAAGATTTTTATCGGCATTATCTTTTAGAAGATCATCCTCAGTTTCAATTATTTCGGAATTGTTGTTATCGAAAATAGTTTTATTATTACTCTTTTGTTTTTTATTTTTCTGCTTCATTTCATTAGATTTAAGGGTTTTTTTATTTCGTAAACTAATAATAATTAACAAGAGACAAAAAAATAATTTTAAATTAGGTTCAAGAGTATATATTTAGACATTAAGATAAAATTATAATGATATTTTTGGAATGAATAAGCAATAGATGTGTATTTATGTGTGTGGTTGGGCGTGTATGTATACAATATTTAAAAAATAGCTTTATTATTTTTTGAAGAACAATAATTAATTACTTTTTAATTGATCCTTGTGAATTTTCAGTTTCTTCGGGATGTGGTTGAATGGGTGGTATGGAGGCACCTGTGTGGAAGAACTCACGACGAAGACGCTCGTTTGTGCAATACCACAATTTACCGGTACCGTTCTTTTTTAATAATAAAAAATTAATTTGAGCAAAGTAATAATAAATAAGTAAAAAGAGAGAAAAAATATAAAAATTTTTTTTTGGTAAAAAGTTATTTATGAAAATAAATAATTTTAGATAATGATAATAACAAAATTTGTATGTGAATAATATGAATAATTTTTATAATTTTTTAGTTTTTATAATAATAATAATAGGATTAGAAAAAATAATTTAAAACGTACTGGCGAAGACGTCACAGTGGTCATGACTGTGCTCAAAGAGAGATTCTTTATATATATAATATATATATATATATATATATATTTGTATTTGAAATAATAAATCATTAATACTATTATTATTATTATTATTGTAATGAAATTCGATAATAAAGAACAAAAATATCTAATAGTATATATATGAGAAAATACCTTTTTTTTTTTGAAAAAGAAAAGTTGAAAAAAAATGATCCCAATATTTATATTACTGGTTGATGAAAAACATGATTGGCCAGTTGGATTTTTCGTACAACGATCCCGGGGCACACTAAAAACTCCGTTCTTTATTTTGATTGGATAAAAATATGACTATCCTATACTAAAAAGGAGAGGTGTAAGAGCCACCCAACTTATTGGGAATCAAAAAAGAAATATTAATGTTAATACATATATATATTAAATTTATTTAAGGGAGGATTAAAAAGGATAGATTTTTGAAGATTATCGATAATCTTGAAAATAATCCAAATTTGATTGTGAATCATGTTTCTAATTTTTGAATTAAAAAATTGAGATTTAAAATTGGTTTGTTTTTTTTACATGCGCGACAATTTCAAAAAAATTATATTGAATATTGTTACACGGAATCAAAGATTAAAAAAAAAAAAGACCCAAATTTTTGATGTCATTTTATTACAAAAGAAAAAACCAAGTTCATTGGTTTGTGAGGATTAGTGTTGACAATTTCCCGGTTTACTATGTATCAGTATTTTCAATAATAGACTTCCTTGGCCAGCAAGTAATGACAATAATAAGAATCAAGCTGATTTATTTTATTAGGGTAGGGAAAAAAGAAAAAAAATGATATAAGATGTATGCATATAAACCTACCCTATAATATGATATTTATAAAAAAATATATACTATGAATATTGAAAATTTTTTAATTATTTATATTTTGATTATTTTTATCACAAATTCTTGGATCTTTTGACTCATGATAATAAGTTTCAAGACCAAAAGTATCTACCCGATTCATCAAAGGAATTAATTGAGCCCATGTCATCGGAAGAGTGATATTACTGAATCTATTGATGCTATTGGATTTATTGATATCAATGGAACTATTGATCCTTTGCAATAAATCATTTGACATAGATGGCGACGAATTGTTTGAAGTATCTAGATAATCTACTATTACCGAAGCCAACATTTGTTGTTTTAAAGGAACTGGATCGTTGACAGATAATGCACCATTTGTTGGCAATTGAAGAGAGACACTATTATCATTTACTATCCTACAATTATTGGGTTCATGATAATTGTTACTAGTATATAATACGCTATCCATAGATGATGTGTTGTTTTTGTCTTTGTTGTGGCTGTTACTGTTATTGTTGATATTATTGCCAGTAACATCAGATATCGCCCTATTTGTCTTGTAATTAGATTTACCATAGAGTTGAAACTGGCCATTTGACGCATCAATATCAAAGTTTTTATTGCTAGCATTAGATGGAGTACTACTATATACCGTTTTATCCATTAGTTGAGTGACATTAGAAATAATTGTTGTATTCAAATTAACTTGCTGTGGCAAAGCGTTTGAGTTTTCTTGCATGTTATTAATGTGTTTAGATTTTGGATCTATTTTGTTTGATCTTTTTAAAATGATATTTTTTTCATTTGTGTGGGAATAACTTAATGTATCAAACAAAAAAAATTGTGCTTTTCTCATATTAGAATATTCATTTTGAATCGCTCTCTAATAAATCCAAAAAAAAAAACTGTGTGAGGTTTGTTAGGATTAAATGATTAGCTAAAAAAAAAAATAATATCAACTTACATATGCTTCATCTATAAAAAAAATATTATCGTCATTGCTATCAAGTATTTTATTATGCATGGTGGTATCACTTCTAGTAGAATTATTGATGTTAGTAATATTAGGATAATATTCTTCTTCTTTTACATCATTATCATCAATAACTATAATTGATCTCGACCTTGAGCTTACGCTATTATTAATTAATTTTACACGTTCAGAAAATTCAGCATAACCTTTCTCGAGGATTGAATTATCAGGACAAAGCCTTTTACTACTATACTCTGCATAGAATTCGTCAATTTCTCTTGCGTGTAATTTACCCATCTTTCTCAGTTGCATCTGATGTCTTTTTTCCATATTATGAAGTTGGATATCAGGCTTACTGGCATAAGTTTCTCGATATAATTTATCATAACTAAATTTTTTGAAAGCATCATTTGTTTATATATAAATACATATATATAGATATATACACGTGCATATTTTAGAAAAATTAAATCCCAAATATATAATAAAGGTAATAAAGAACAAAATAAATCAAGATAAAACAACTTACTCTTTGTCTTCGGGGAAACACTCAATCATAATGTCAAATAACTTTTCCTGTTTTAAATAATCAATATATTTAATTTCATATAGAAATATAATTTTTTTTTAATAGGTTAAAGCTTACCATGTTTTTTTTTTTTTTAATTACAAATGAGTAAAAACTGTCAATTTTTATTTTGAGACCAGATAAATATTACATACAATATTACATTAATGTCAATCATTTAAGGGTGGAAGTGATCGATCCACAAAATAAAACTTTGTTACACACGATTTTATTTTGCAAAAACAGTTTGATGATCCCGGTTGTACAATTTTCTAACACTGAATTTAGTAAAGGAAAGAAAACATTGGAACATTGTATATATAATGCAAGTCACTTAGTCCCGTCCGCAACTTTCTATTGGTCGTGTAGATACTTCAAATCCTCCAAAAATGAAAATGCAACACCCCAAAATAAATCGTGTTTTTGAAGCCAAGAACTTCCTCCACAAAGTTACTATTTCATTTACCGAATTTATTATGTTTAGCCCTAAAATTGACGTGTTACACAAAAAATAATCAAAAATATCAAAAATAGTTTCAATCTTTTGTCACATGAATTTTCCAGATTAAGATGAATGAAAGAGAATTTATATTTGTTATCATCAATTAATACGCTCTCCTAAATAATAATTAGTGACAACTTGGTCTCCTCCGAAATGATCTGGATATTTTACATTGCTAAATTCTGGTGCAGCTGGTTGTGATTGTACTATTGCAGCCACCACTGTTGAAGTGCATTATTAAGGTTTTGTAAATCTGCTAGATCCATCAGGACCGGGCTTGTTGATTCACTACTGGTTGATTTGAATTGAAAAAGTTTTCTAGACCTAGAGTAGAATCTCGTCTGAATTACTATCTGAATTTTCACTTATTTCCAAATTACTACTTTAATTATTATTTTCTTCACTTGTTTGTTTTGTAGAACTTGATAGAAATTAATTTAGATTTTTATGTTCAAAAATAATTAATAAAATAAAAACTTATAAAATCATATGATAATGATTCTCACATGACTTTTATATGAACTTCTATTATAATGACAATCTCGTTATACTGACATTTTTTGCTTGCACATGGAGTGTCATTATAACGGGAGTGACTCGTATTGCACAAAATTGGCGGTGTGGCACAGAAAGTTGTGGGACTAGGTGACTTGCACCATAACCACATGATATCATGTATCGGATTAGGATTTTTTAAAATTTTCGGACACATTAGAGCTTCAATTTCCGTAGTATGTAAACATAACTATACACAAAGTCCATTTCGACTTTTTTTGGATGGTCGAAATGGTTGAAAATAGTCTCAAATTTTTGATAAAATCTTAATAATTTTGGATAATAGTAACAGTCGAAATCTTGGATAGTCAAGATGATTTGTTATTATTATGAATAATAAAATGATAATTAACATATCAGTTAAGTCAAAACGATACAGTCAAACCTCGTTTCAATGAATCTATGATGGTGTTATGTTGATGTGTTAACGTTACGGGCCCTTTAAAAACATTCAATCTGTTAATATTAATATTAATGGTTTTTCCACCCAGATTTGTAACGGGTTAATCCGTTAAAAATAACAAGTATTATTATTAACAAGCAATATATATATATATTTAAAATATTTGAAACATTTGTTGTAAGAATTTAAAATAAAAGGTTTATTTATTTAGTTTTTATTTGAAGGATGAATTGCTATTTATTTGAGCCATCGCGAGTAAAAACAGCACCACATTCTTTACCAACTTCATTTAAGACTGAATAACTAGCTCTTAAGGTTCTACCGTGGAATTTTTTCCCATGCTAATTTAAGCCAATTGCTTATTTTAACTAACTATAAAATACAAAATCATGCCTTATGTATTATTATTATCGACACTTGATGTTGTACAGATTTTTTTTGTTGACGTGTTTTTTTTTTTTGGAAAACAAAGTGACAAAACGTGAGAATTATAGAAACTCAGGAAAAAAACTAATAGTTTGAAACTCAGTTACTTTGCCGAAACTTAATCACTGTGCCGAAACTCAATCACTGTGCCGAAACTATAATTTGTTGCAGAAACTTCAATTTTTGTTGAAATTATTTTATAATGATTAGACATTTTCTTTTGAAAAAAATTAATTATACAAGAAATTTTATTATTATTGCAAAACATTTAATATTATTATTATGTAGAAGGTGTTATAATTCTTTGGTTACATTGGTATCAACAAAGGGTAAGTTTGGTGTGGTGTTTGCTTTGGCAGATTTTGGTGTCGTTGGAAAATGCACTAGTTGAATACCATATTCTGGATCATTATCTTCTTAATCTAAGTCTGAAAATCCTCATTAGCTAAACACTCTTATTATTTCCACAAAAGCAAACAATGAATAGATTACCCAAAGAACGCATTTTCTGATAATATATTTAGGAAGATACCCCGCACCATATTAAACATAGAATGAGAGCTTTATATGTAAGTGATTTATAACAATGAATTAACATAACATTTTTTTTGATAATGAAATTTTTTTTATTCTAGCCTTTAAATGATAAATACTGTATGTAAGTAAATGTATATCAAATGCTTTTAAACAAAATATGATTAGAAATTTATATTATATGGTGATATTTAATATGATTCTTTAAAATTGTAGAAATTGTAAAAGTACAATGTTAATATTGAACATAATTTTACATAATTGAAAATGATCATTGAAATGATATTTGGGACATGTTGCAAGTGAAATTTGTATTACCAAGAATTTCAGGATCAAAATTTAGTTATCGTTTTATTATTGCATTTTCTTTAATTTGGTAGATATTTATTTTCAAAGTACACTATAACCTTCGTTTCAACGGAATGGTTGGACACATAAGAAAATTTCATTTAAAATCCGTTGAAACGAAATTACTATTACTATTACTAATACTAATCTAGAGTTGGCACCCGTAATGCAAAATTACGGTATTACGGTGTTGCAAACTCGTATTGCAACAATACAACATTGGAGGGTCGGTGTTGCAACTAACCGTAATGTTGTAATATTTATTATACAAATAAAAAGTATGAACTTTACTTTTCTAATTATATCATTTATTTTCTCCCACGAATATAATAATTAAAGATGACTGATAACAAAAATAAACTTGGAACAAAATATAGTGATACTTGGGAATATTTTACACGTGGTAATCATTTTGGTAATGGACATTACCAAGTTACGTGTAAGCCATGTTTGTCATTTTTTTAAAGATGCCCGACCATATCTCATGTTTCTCAATGTTCAAAAGCATCTGAACTACCAAAAATGAAGTAAATAAATTGATTTTACAAAGTCGACATTTTCTAAACAAGGATAAACTCCTGGACATTCTGGACAGCGTCATATTGATGGTTATTTTTGTTCAGTTTTTTTAGAAGAATCATGCATAAAACAATCGATAAAGCTTTAGTTATGATGTTTATTATGTGTGCGTTACCTTTATGCCTTGTAGAAACCCCATTTTTTATTGAATATCAACCACCTTCAAGAAAAGCGATATAGGCGAAAATGGAGATCCACATGCTTATTTACCCCAATTAGATGATGAATAGATAAACGAATTCAAAATTTTTTTTTGTGTTTATGTTTATAATAATAATAATGTTTTTAAAAGCGGTCTAACTGCATCGTATAATATGTAAAGTTACAGGTATGTTGCAACATTACAGGTATGTTGTAACATTACGGTTTTGTTGCAACAAAAGAAACATATTGTTGCAAAATCGCAACATTTGATATTTGATTACGGGGGACAAGCTTATACTAATCGCGTTTCAACAGAATTTTATATGTTTTCATGAGATGCAAATTTAATTATAATCCGTTGAAACAAGGGTTATAATGTATTGCTAAAATTCAGGAATCAAAAAATATTCATCATAGGGAGTTTCTTTTTCCGGTTGAAGCTGATTTTAGGTTGTGAAATAAATATGTGGTGATGATTATGTATTTGATATAATCATTAATCATTTTTATATCATGATATCCTTCAATTAGCAGAATCAAATATCGAGAGATAATTAAATCAGAAAAGCTATTTTTAATTGATGAAAAGATCATCAAGTCATTTTATACAAGTCAAGCATTCGGCTAATTCATTAAAAGCTTCCATTAAATGAATCAAACGAACAGGCTGATATTTTGATTAATAATAATTTATTGTTTTGGTTAAATATTATTTCAACATTTATTTTTTAGTTTTACTTTGATAAGCGGTTTTGGTGGCAATGGTAGCAGTAATAATGAAGAGAGGATCAATTAGAAATTTTTTAAATTACAAATTTTAAGTAACATTAATTATTTGAAAACAATATTATTAATACTAAAAAAAATTTAAATTTCAAAGTAATATTCTAAAATTTTCATTAGTATTTCTTCTGGGAAATCTATAATTAATCTGTCAGCACTTAATGTAATCTCGTAATTGTCACCATAGTCATCGTATAACAGAGTATGATTTACTGCTTTCCCTTTGAAACTTATTATGTGCAATTCTTCATTATCAGATTTGTATGTTCTTGCTGACATACATTCTGATCTTAAAACGTATATATTATGTTAACCAATTTAAAGGTTAACCATAGTAAAGCTTCATGCCGAGGGGTCGGGCATCCCCGAACCTGCCTAATTAACATTTAATTTAAGCATTGTAATATCTTTAAAAATATAAAATCTTTCGAAATTTAAAATTTTATAAATGAGGAGTATGCTGGTGCTTGCCTTTTCAGATTGTCATTAATTTTAAATTTTTTTTCTTTAGGACTGGTAAAACACAAAAAAAAATATCAGTTTTAATTCAACTAGAGTGACGACAACCACCATTCTTATGATAAAACTTACCTTCTTCTGACTTCATATTGTTCTGTTTTTCTTTTTTTGTTATCCTTTTTGTTCGGCACTTTTAAAAATTAAAACAAGATTTTATTTGAGTGAGTGTGAGTGAGTGAGGTTAAATTTATATGTTCGCAGAGTTTTTTTTCAGGGAAAAATATTAAAGGACTATTTACACGGATTGATTTTATTCCTGCACGGTGACTTTCTTTAGATGGTATGAAGGAGTATGTTAACAGACTATTGCGAGGTTTTGTTGGACTATTAAACATGTCCTGTATAAACGAAGTTTAAATTATTGGGAAAATCAAAAGAGAAATATGCGAGAGTATAAAACTATAAAATAAAGGATATATGTTATATCTTGTCTGTAAATTTTTTACCTTATATTGATATATCATAGCCAGGAACTTGAGAAAATTTCTAACTTCTTATACCGAAAACTTATTATTTATATAATGTATTTTGGAATCCTTATAAAAATAAAAATAGCAATTGACCCGCCAGTATGCCACAACCTTGTAGCTTGAAGCCTTAATCCGAGACGTAGGATTCCAAATACTTGAAGTTTTTTTATTCTTTCTCCTTCATAGTTCACACCAGGGTCGGCAAATTGACTGGTCCATTGAGAACTGATGGATTTTGGACTGGTTCATTGCGATTAATAAAATACTAAATATGGTTAAGGTATTACACTAATGGACCCAATGGACCACCAATAGACAATCAATGGACCGCACATTTGCCAACCCTGGTTCAATTGAAACACTAATGATATTTACCTCTAAAGGATTTTTTTATTAATTCTTGTACATTTCTCCTTATAGAAGTACCTAGCAGTTTGAGACTGCCAGTAAGGTGCAATTCCTTAACTGCAATCTTTTTTAACATGATAAATGAAGTTAGTAAAAAATTAAGGTAATGATGAACAATATTTAATTCACCTTCTCCTTTTCACGTATAATTTCGCTCCAATATGGTTTTAATCCACCGTTTTGACGTTCAGCTTTAATCTTTTGCAGATGTAGAAATTTAAACATGCGAGTAATGTAAAAGGTGTGATAACAAAACATTATAAACGAAGTAACAGGTAAAAAAAAAATTTGTCGGCTGTTAGATCTAAAACAATATTAAAAATCGAACTACTTAGAAAATAAAAATACCTTTGTAACCTGTAAAATACTCGATATTCATTTCTACTATTTCTACTATATAAATTTATATGTGAAATTGACGTGTTGTTTGTTATTGTAAACATTTTTTACAGCATAGTGGAAATTTGAAATGTTACACTAATTTTTTATATTGTGCAACGTAGCTTTACAATAAACGGCAAACATTCTGGCAATAAAAAGTAAGTGATAAAATGGATTTGAATTGGATCTGAACTTGATCTCCAATTTAGAGAAGTTTCAGGAGCAACGAGTTCTGTATGACATTTCGCGTAGCAACAAACTTCCGCTATGCTATTTTTTACCAGGTCCGTGTTACGCAATCGATTTTAATGCACAGGTCACGAGGATCACAGTCCAGAAAAGTCTTGGTCAATTTTCTCTTTTGTAAATAAAAATTCTTCCCAAAAGTTGTTTTTTTTTTTTACTCAATGACTTTGAAAAAAATCTATCTAATGATCCGATATTAGAATAAAAAAAAAAATTTAATGGTCACAATGCCAGTTTCCAATTGCAGAATGCCTTTACATTGACACTTTGAAAATTGACAGAGATGTTGAGATGTTATAAATGAGTACAAGAGGTTAAAATCAAAAAGCAAAAAGGGATTAAAAAAATTGAGTCAATGATAATTTTTTCCTTTGAAAAAGCAAAAACATAACTGTAATGAGCAGTGGCATCAATACTGCAATATTGTGTTTTATCCTTTGAATAATTTTGATTAACTAATTTTCTTTGTTCTTTAGCCAATGAGAATTGTTATTCGCACCTCCATTTTTGTCATTCGCACCCCTCCCGTGACTAAGACAAAGATGAACCAATAAAATCATCACATTTTAAAGCCATTCATTGGTCACATTACTACACTTAGTCACGGGAGGGGTGCGAATAACAAAAATGGGGGTACGAATAACAATTCCCTATTTTTATTATAATAATTTTTTTCTAATTTGGCCTTGGACAGATGTTATTTAAATCCTTTGAGTAATTCTTCAGCTTCTTCTTCTTGGCGAGCATTGTAATGTAAACCATTTTGAAAATGTTGGCAAGCATCACACAAGTCAGTTCTTGGACTCATAATTTGAATCTCTGGTGCAGTTGATGTCTTAATTTTCTGAAGGCATTATATTTCAAAGATTTCAATTTGCTATCTTCTTCTATATCAGCCAGAAAATACCTGTGCGCAGATTTATGGCTCATTTCAGATGGTAAGAATGTAACTTATTGAGTTATTCTATTGTTACTTCTCCCTGGGCTTGGCAAACCATGAACTTTAACATAATTTTTCAGAAATTCTTTACTATTTCTGCAACATTTTTGTCAATCACCATTTTAGTTTTACATTGAGGCATCTTTTTAATATTACCATGAACTCTTGTTAAAAGACCATGGTTTATCAGATGATTTCTGATAATTTAAAATAAGTTCTACCAATCCCTAACATATTAAAATAAGTTCCTTGGCAAAGGAGTGTAGTGAAAAAGGACAGGGGACGGATTTCTGCGCCTTCACCACGCCACACCTGTTACCATCCTTTTCTAGTATTAATGGGCCTTGAAAAGGACGGTGTGTTGAACCCATCCCCAGTATCCCAAGAGAAATTGGGAAAATTTGGTCAACCTCCCCATGAAAAATAATTATGACCTAGCTTATCATCATTAATAATCAAAATGAGAAAAGACAATTTAAAAAGCAAACAATAAATGAAATAATAACAAGTTAATAAAAAATTGACTACCTTTACCAATGAATTTTTCCATACATTGTTGATCATAAACAGAAAATGTTATTATTGCTTTAACAAATCATGTGTATTGATTTATATTTTTTATAAATGTAAAAATTTACTTAATTTCTTCTGAATAGATTATAACAATAAGATTAATTATATTTTTATTATTTATATATTATTATATTATTATGTATTTTTAACATAAAAAGGATTATCCTCTAAGAAGTTTTACAGGCTTTCTATTTTAGTCCTTGTTAAGTCATACACCCAAGGTTGCCAATTTATGTGTTCATAATTTACCCGAGACAAGTACTGATAATAGAAACATTAGCCTTATGTACCAACTTTTAAAATATGAGATACAGCTCACCACATTTTGTTGGATAAATTCTATTTCATAATTTTTTTGTGTAATCCAATAAATAGTAAAAGTAGAATTGATGATTAAAGAAATAATTAAAGTACCTGCTCAAAAATACTTATATAATTTATCTTGTTGAAAAGTAACTCTATTTTTCAAAATAATCAATTTTTGAAACTTAAAAAAATTAATTTGATATAATGATTACATTAAGGTAAAATAACAATTTGTAAAATGTTACCTACAAGAACAAAAAAAGTTGTGACTTTAAATTAATACAAAAGAATTTTAAATTGCGTACAAACCTATCCCCGTCAATAAGATTACAAAAGTGCACCAATGTATTTAAACATTGCTTGATTAACCTTGAAGCATGTAATGGCGTGATTGGTCCAGCCTTGGATTCCATGCAATTTTTTTATTGTATATTTTAATCATTTCCTTGTATGTAAATGACTCTATATACTAATATTCATGATGGTCATGATTGTTATTCAATACATTTGATATCATAATTGGCATAACAAACAATTGCATCACCCAGGTGGTAATAACATCAAGGCCATGCAGAAATGAAACTTTTAACAATGTGTGTCTACCCAGATCTCTGGGATTCACAAAATAAATTATTTTTCCTGATTATCAAATTATGGTTTCTTATGGATAATAAATCTGATGTTAATTGCAGGAGTCAGATTTAATTAAAGTTTCCTATAACAAACTTTGCACAACGGGCGTTTACACACCGCCCCATTCCTATGAAATTTTTTCCACAGGTGAGACACTTGCAATTTTGAAGCCTTTGGACAAAACTTTCCCTATCTTCTCCTCAGACCAGGCTGGATGTTGTCATATGAGCATTGATGATTGGCATTTGTGTGACGATTGCTTTGAGTCCCTGGTTGCTATTTTTATTGGTGGCACGCCTACTCACCAACAACCCTGCCCCCATTTAAAAAATCAAATTCAGTTGATCAAATAAAAATTAAAGACAAACAGAAAATTTGGGAATGATTAATTTATATAATATACCAAACGAAATTTGATCCATTTTGTTTTACGGCTTTCCTCCTAACATCAGGGCTACCAACCTGTTCTGAATTTGCGACTTCTTGTGCTTGAAACGAGTTGCAGATCCTCGTTGCTTTGATGCTTATGCTTGGTTGCAGAGCCATCCTTAGGATTGTTGCGGGAAAACTTTTGGGCTTTCTCACTGGTCTGGTGCTGTGAGGGAAGATTAGTGAAAAAGTCATTGACGATGATGAACCCTTTGATAAACCCCAGACCTGCTCAAAAATACTTATATAATTTATCTTGTTGAAAAGTAACTCTATTTTTCAAAATAATCAATTTTTGAAACTTAAAAAAATTAATTTGATATAATGATTACATTAAGGTAAAATAACAATTTGTAAAATGTTACCTACAAGAACAAAAAAAGTTGTGACTTTAAATTAATACAAAAGAATTTTAAATTGCGTACAAACCTATCCCCGTCAATAAGATTACAAAAGTGCACCAATGTATTTAAACATTGCTTGATTAACCTTGAAGCATGTAATGGCGTGATTGGTCCAGCCTTGGATTCCATGCAATTTTTTTATTGTATATTTTAATCATTTCCTTGTATGTAAATGACTCTATATACTAATATTCATGATGGTCATGATTGTTATTCAATACATTTGATATCATAATTGGCATAACAAACAATTGCATCACCCAGGTGGTAATAACATCAAGGCCATGCAGAAATGAAACTTTTAACAATGTGTGTCTACCCAGATCTCTGGGATTCACAAAATAAATTATTTTTCCTGATTGTTCCCTATGAATGATAAATCTGACGTTGATTGCAAGTGTCAGATTTAATTAAAATTTTCCTATCACAAACATGCTGGTCTGCACAATTAAGTACCTTTCAGCACCATGGAGTGCCCCCAATGGTTGAAAGTGCCCTGAACATGTTGGAAGGCTTTGGACAAAACTTTCCCTATCTTTCTCTCAGGCCAGGCTTGGTTTTTTACCATATGAGCATTGATAACTGATAGCTGGTGCTTGTGTGATGTTTGCTTTGTGTTATCACCCTCTAGAATAAAGTTGGTGTCTGCAACTGATTCAAAATTCTCCAACTTGGAAGGTTGTGACCTGGGTTGCTGTCTTGTCAGTGGCATGTCTACTCACTAACAACTCTACCCCATTTAAATAACAAGTTCAGTTGGTCAAATAAAAATCAAAAGAAACAAAATTTATGGGAATGATTAATTTATAACATAACATACCAAAATCAAAACCATTTTATGACTTTTTCTTGTTGGTCATGTTGCTGACAAGATATATATAAACATGCGATAATTTTAATCTATAGGACAGGGGAAATAACCCATTCAATCCCCTACCCAAAATTATAAATTGGTTAGTATTAAAGAAACAGAGAATTTAGGAAAATAATTATACTAAACAAACACTATTTTACACCAATCCTTACCCTAGAGGTAGGATCATTGCAGGCAACTTTTCAGCCAGCATGCCAGCAGCTTTCTCCAGTCTGGGTGCTGTGAGAAAATATTAGTGAAAGTGTCATTGACAATTGATGCAGTCTTGGTAAATCTCAGAGCCACATCATTGTATCATCAGGACACAGTAGTCAGATTAGCCTTGTGTACACAAGGAATGTGTGAGAATGACTGTAAAGTGTTCAAGGTAGTGTGCATGCTTCAACATCTGCTAATTTCCAATAATCAAACATCCAATATCAAAATGTTCCTTTTTCAACAGTATGCTGCCTTGACAACTTGTAATTAATTATAATAATATTAATATTAATAAAAATTACGAAAAGCAAAAGCAAATCTTGATGAGAATCTTATAAGAAACTTATAAATTACCAAGTTCTATTCCGCATTTTGATTCTAATTAAAATATTTATAATACTAAAAAAATACATATCTATACAAGTAAAAAAAAGTACCATTGGTTAGTTATTAACACTTCTTCTTTATGAGAGCCATACCAAACAACAAGACTCATGTTTTGTCATCCACATCAAAATATTGACATTGAACTCAATTATTGATTTAAATAAAAAATAATTTAATTTAGTAATTTTTTATTTAGATAATGAATAGTGATTTTTTTTTTGTAAAATTGCATATTTTGATAAGTCAGATCTCTTAATAAGTCGGACATTTGTGTCTCAGAATATTAATGAATTAGTTTTTATCGATGAATAGATAATTTTGGTTTATTGATTTAACAAAATGTTTGTTTATTTAGTTGAAACTAATTTATTAACTTATTATTAACATCAAATTCAAGCTTCTTATATACAATTCAATTAATTAGTAATGTCAATGACATAGAATCATAAAATTATGTCTTTTGTGTAAACATAGAATTATGTCTTTGACTAGTGATGTTAGCCATTTAAAAATCCTAAGCTGACTAAGCTGTTTATTACCTAAATTGATAATTTTATTGCTATAACAGCACCACAAGTAATGCAGAAATCTATTGCCAAATTTAGAAATTATTTATGCAGATTATTAGCCACTAAGTTTCTGGTGGTCTTC